TTTCAGTTTTTTTTTTTATATTATTATTATTATTATTATTATTATTTTTTTATTAAAAGGGCAAAATCGTCATTTCAGGGGGCGGTATTTAGTAAAATCAATGTGGTAAATAGTAACACTCAATCAATTATGTGGTTTTATAATGATGATGAATGATGAGGCGCTAATTCTATTGTGCCTTTTAAGCATCAAAATTATGTGTTGTATGAAATTATTGATATACGCAACAAACTAATTATCATAAGGACAAGTGGCGATAATTAATTCTGTTCCCAAAATCATGATGTTCTGTTTGTTGTGTTTTAAATAATGGTGAACTGGGAGGATTCTGCTTCTTTATGCTTATGCTTATGAAAATTGGCAAACGAGGAAATAATGAAAGGCATGAACGAGACATCATGTCTGTATATATATGTGCGTATGTTGGCATTTTGAATATTTGATGTTCTACTACTATGAATATTACGTGAAATTCTTCCGACTGAAAGTGTTAAGCTTGCTATGACACTATAATTGTTATATGACATTAAGCTAAATTAATTTGTTAGTCACCAAAGTGGCCTAATAAATTTTTAATGTTCGGTCATATAATTTATCGTTATGAAGTTTTATTATATGACATTAAGATAAAATTAATTTGTTAGTCACCAAAATGGCCTAATTAATTTTTTAATGTCCTGTCATATAATATTATTGTTACAACTGTTTATTATATGACATTAAGTGAAAATTAATTTGTTAATCACCAAAGTGGCCGAATTAATTTTCTAATGTTTGGTCATATAACTAATGTTCTCTTGAGAATGTCTATCTAAGATAATGAGTTTATTGGTTGTTAGAAATTATGGATTTACCCAAACGTGAATCAATGTTCTATAACTAATAAACATTAAGGAGAAATATAATGTCCTTTGTCGAGCGTATGTAGATATCCAAAGATACTATGTTTGTTAGACGAAGTTTATTTAATTTCTCATCAAGTGTTGAATGACATTCGACTTATGATAATGATATAATTGTTGTGTTTACCCAAAGGAGACCTGCAATATAATTTATGAATGATTTTCTGAATCTATTAATTAAGTGAGCTTTTATGATTGTGCAACTATCTCTCTTCATTCGCAAGCTTCTTCTGTTACTGTCTTCAATGGTTTGAATTTCTCTTAATGGCGTGAGCAAGTCAATTTCTATTTAGGTGTTTTGGATATTGATTTGGCTCTGCTTGAACAAAAGCCCGCTGACATTAATGATCAAAGCAGTGAGGCTGAGAAATCAAATCGTAAGGCTTGGGACAGGTCTAACAGATTATGTTTGAGCTTTATGCGAATGACGATTGCCCACAACATTAAGTCAACTCTTCCCGATAATGTAGATGCAAAAGCATATCTTTTGCTTGTGGAAGAGCGTTTCCGTTCTGCGGATAAGTCATTGGCAGGAACACTAATGGCTGAACTCACGATCAAAAAGTATGATGGGTCGCGTAGTATGCAACAACATGTTCTTGACATGACTAATCTTGCAGCAAGGCTTAAGTCCCTGGGCATGACTGTGGATGACTCATTTCCGCTGCAATTTATGCTTAACTCGTTGCCTCATGAATACGGGCCTTTTCAAATTAACTATAACACTATTAAGGATAAGTGGGATGTTAATGAATTGGCCATTAAGCTTGTTCAGGAGGAGACGAGGCTTAAGGCACAAGGAGTTCATACGGTCAACCTTGTGGGTCGAGGAGCTAATGATGTTCTCAAACCAAAATTCAACAAGTTTAAGAAGAAAGGACCTGCTAAAGTTTCATAGGCCACTAATGTTGAAAAGAAGAAAAATCGAGCAAATAAATGTTATTTCTGTAGAAAAGAAGGTCATGTATAGAAAGATTGCCTGAAACGCAAGTCTTGGTTTGAAAAGAAAGGTATTTCCAATATCTTTGTATATATCGAATCAAACTTGTCTGAAGTTCCTTCAAATACTTGGTGGTTGGATTTTGGTGCTACAACTTATGTTTCTAATGTGATGCAGGGATTTCTTACAATCCAGAGCATAAACCCAAATGAGAACTTCTTGTTCATGGGGAACCGTATGAAGGCCCCAATTGAAGGCATAGGGACTTATCGTATTGTTTTAGATTTCGGGCACCACATGGATCTTTTACAAACTCTCTATGTACCTTCATTTTCTAGAAACTTAATGTCTATTTCTAGACGTGATGTTCTTGGGTTTTCCCTTAAGTTTGGAAATAAATGTTTCAGTTTAATTAATAAACATGATTCCGTTATTGGTTCTGGAATCCTTATGGATGGTTTATATAAACTGAAACTTGATGTTATTTTTCTGCATCACTTATGTGTGTTCATCAAAACATTGAAGTTAAACATGGTGTAGCAAATGAGAACTCTGCTTTCTTGTGGCATAAACGTTTGGGTCATGTATCCAAAAAAAGAATGCAGAGGTTGGTGAAAGATGAGATTCTTTTGGATCTAGATTTTACCGATCTTGGATTGTGTGTGGATTGCATTAAGGGAAAGCAAACCATACATAACAATAAAGAAGCCGCAAGAAGTATTCAACTTCTTGAAATTATACACACCGATATATATGTACCTTTTGATGCTCCATCTTTTAATGGAGAAAAGTATTTCATTACCTTTATAGACGATTTTTTACGTTATGGTTATGTTTATCTGCTCAAGGAAAAATCTCAAGCTGCAAATGCACTTGAGGTTTTCATTAATGAAGTTGAAAGGCAGTTAGACAGAAAGGTGAAAATAGTAAGGTCTGATAGAGGTGGTGAATACTATGGAAGGTATGATGAATCGGGACAAAATCCCGGTCCATTTGCTAAGTTCCTTGAAAGACATGGCATTTGTGCACAGTATACCATGTCAGGCACACCTCAACAAAACGGTGTAGCGGAAAAGCGAAATAGAACATTAATTGACATGGTTAGGAGTATGATAAGTAATACATCATTACCCAAATCTTTGTGGATGTATGCACTTAAGACTACTGTGTATCTGCTAAATAGGATTCCTAGTAAGGAAGTTCCTAAAACTCCTTTTGAGTTATGGACTGGAAGAAAACCTAGTTTGAGACACCTGCATGTTCGGGGTTGTCCAGCAGAAGCACGAGTATACAACCCACATGAAAAGAAATTGGATTCTCGAACTGTGAGTGGTTACTTTATTGGTTACCCAGAGAAGTCCAAAGGGTATATGTTTTACTGTCCTAATCATAGTTCTAGAATCGTTGAAACGGGCAATGCTAGATTTATTGAACATGGTGAAGTTAGTGGGAGTGCTAAAGAGACTGTGGAAATTAATGAAATAAGGGTTGATGTTCCATTACCCATTAATGTTCCAATATCCACAGTTGTTCCAAATATTGTTCCACAATCACAAAATAATGGTGGATAAAATTTGGATGATGTAGTACCCCATGAAGAGACTAACTTGCCACCAACTAATATAAATGAACCACGTGGAATAGCATTAAGCAAACCTACAAGGGTGAGAAACTCTGCTATTCCGAATGACTGTGTTTTTTTTTTTTGCAAGAATTGGATTATGATACTAGCATTGATGAAGATCCTATTTCGTTTTCGCAAGCCATTAACAGTGACGAGTCTCATAAATGGATTGATGCTATGAAAGAAGAGTTAAATTCTATGGCTAAAAACAATGTTTGGGATCTAGTAGAATTGCCAGAAAGTTCAAAACGAGTTGGGTGTAAGTGGGTCTTTAAGACCAAACGCGACTTGAGTGGCAATATCGAACGACATAAAGCTAGACTTGTTGCCAAGGGTTATACTCAGAAAGATGACATTGATTATAAGGAGACTTTTTCACCTATTTCTAAGAAAGATTCCTTGAGGATCATTATGGCTTTAGTAGCTCAGTATGATTTAGAGTTACATCAAATGGATGTGAAAACGGCCTTTCTTAATGGGGACTTAGATGAGGAAGTTTATATGGATCAACCCGAAGGTTTTTTCATAGAAGGAAAGGGTCACATGGTGTGTAAACTTATGAAGTCAATATATGGACTTAAACAAGCTTCCAGACAATAGTATATTAAGTTTAATGAAACCTACACGTCTTTTGGTTTTCAACAAAACACTGT